GATAATGTACGTAGCTCAACTCCTGAGCATCTTCAGTGCATCTTCAACAGCGACTTTGCGTCTTTACACACACACACTCGAGAAATGCGTACTGAATTGAAAGCCATTTGCCACACAGCAACCTAGGTGAAAACGTTCCTGAGTATAGCATGTAAGGGGGGTCTGAGCATCCTGGAGGTCATCGTTGAAAGGGGGGAGGCCCAGATTGTTTAAAGTCTCAAAGTCCAACGTCGGAAGCTGCGAAGCAACAAGGTGACGACGAGCCCTAAAACATCTGCAGAACTGACAGTCAGACTAGAAATTAGTACTTTACAGGAGAGTAGAGTCACAGCTTGGTCAACAGCTTGAAGAAGAAAGTGGTCACCAGCTGCGACTTACAATGTGCCCAGGTGCCCCACAGCAGTTACGTTTTCCCGATCATCCAGAGTGGAGCTTCGTTGGCAGAGGCCACAACTGGAGATCCTTCTACCCGCTGCTTGTAAGTAAACCAAAAGGTTCCCTTTGACTCCAAGGGTTTCACACACACACACACACACACCCACGCACGCACGCACGCACGCACCGTGCCTAGAAAATGACTGACAGTGATCCCCTTCCCCCAGCAGGATTTGCTTTCGCGGTCCACCAGTTGTTCGGGAAATCATGCCAATTTCTTTCCATCGGCCCTTGTTTTGGGGAAAGAAGGACACTTACTCCAGATGGACTCTAAATGACTCCAGTATCCATCAGTATCCCAAGCCGTACACCTCGACCACGGATGCACCCGCGGACACCTCGATGATCCTTCGACCCGTTTCGCTCGCTGCCGCAGGAGCTTCGCCGCTGTGGCCAGGGTTGTACACGTGCCTCGGCGCGGAAAAGGACGAAATGAGTTTCCGTGCAAGTTTGTTTGACTCTAAGAAACTGGAGAATGGGAACCACGGACCCCCCTAGCAGCCCTAGCATTCAAGAAGGACATTGTTCCAAGACATCGCAACATTTCAACAACATTTCAGTGATATCAAGCGCTTCTTGATGGCGCCTCGAGATCGGTGCGACAAAGACTTGAAGAATTGGGGTAAATTCCTAGATCGCTCTTCAGCATCACCTGTGGGGTATTATAAAGAATTTTCATAATCACGAAAGGTAGCCCTTTAGGGGATACCTTGAGTTTGTCTTGCGAAGCAAGTGTTGGGACGTCCAGGTCTAATAATTGATCGCTCAATTCAGACCCCCCCCCACCCCCCCCCCCTTCGAATTGCTTTTTAAAACGTTCCCCCCCCCCCCTCACCCCCTCTAAAATCAATTCTCTCCTGGAGATCGTCTTCGTGAGCCTCTCATGATTTCAGGATAGTTGAAACCCTCTTGAACATTCAGAAAGAGTGAATATGAAATTCTAATCACGAAAGGTGTTCCCCGAGGGGATACATACCTAGAGTTTGTTTTGTGAAGCACGTCAATTCTCTCCTGGGGAGCGTCTTCGTGAGCCTCTTATGGTTTCAGGATAGTTCAATTCCTATGATGTTCCGATTCAATGCTCACCGATGATCTGAGCCATGGGGCAAGTTTGTTTTCCTAAGAATCTTTTTGAACATTTCGAGAGCACATGTTTGAACATTTAAAGTGCATAATATGAACATATATTTACGAAAGGTCGCCTCCGAGGGGATAAATTACCATGTCGAACATTGCATTTTTGTTCCTGCCTCTCGCGTTCTCTTCTCTTCCCGCTGTCCTACCTTTCGTGTCTCCCTCCTCTCAAGTTGAAGTACAGTACGGTACTAGCAGCTAGATGCATCTATAAGAGAGCCCCATGAGAGCCCCCCTGGTTTCTTTTCCCGAGCGACTGAACACATTGTGCAAGTCTTTGGATGTTTCGCCACTTCTTCGATATGTCCATCGCCGGCCGATCCGTTGACCAAGGGGAGAACGGCGAGGTGTTGCTTTCCGTGATCTCCTTAATACTGATGCTCGGTACTACGAAGCGTGAAGATGTCCCTTCTAGCTACTAGTAGCGATGCCCTTGCTACTAGTAGTTTCTTGTTCCTAGTGGTAATGCCAGGAGCTACTAGTAGCGTCCTGGAATCCTTCTGCAGAATCCCGTTGCATCTGAGGAATCCTTCTTTTTGTTGGCTTCAGACTGTTTTGGCCTTTCCCTTTGGCGTGGCCTGGTTCAGCCCCGGGAACCCCACAGCCAGATATGCAGTCTGGGCCTTAGTGAGGTGCAAGCCGCCGGCAAAATGGAAAACGCTTGGCCAGGTTCTTCTAAGTTGACAAGACTATACTATATAAATATTATGATTTGTTCAGTGACTTTTTTGCCAGCCCAAGAGCTCAAGTGATGGTGTCAAGGGCGGTCACATTGAAGAACCTAGTGAATGATTGCATGCACCACTTATAGCTTGCACATGCCGTCACCATCAGAGACTAGTTTGTCTCTTTAACATGATCCAACGTAAACCTCTCTTGCATAGTCTCAAAACTTACGCAGTTCTATGCAGCAGCCAAATTGAATAGTGAACATGAATGAACAACAGTGAACAAGAAAGAATGCTCAACACTAAAAAGGGCTTGGGCCCAGAATACAATCCAGTTCCTCCAATCCCCACTGGACAGACCGTGCAACGCACCCCCAAAAAACGACCCACGACTCACGGCCGCGACCCTTCACCTCCCGAGGTGGTCATCACCTCGGTGTCGATCGGCCTTCCAGCCGCCCTTTATGCATGGCTGCGGCTCCTCTGTAAGGGTCCCATGCATCGGGACTACCTTTGCCCCTTCGAGGCCGACAGCATGGGAGACAGACAGAGGGAGAGACAGAACTCCGGGAGTGACTCCGGGAGGACTGACTTCGCCGTTTTGGGATGTATGAAGAAAGAGCTTCTTGTTAGCTAGTAGCAAGAATGCTACTAGTAAGTAGTGTCCTTGCTCCTAGTAGCAAAGCTAGGAGCCCCCAGGTTGAAAAAAGAGGTCCAGCTTTTGTCCGCTGTTTGTTGGCTCTTCGAGCCGGTGGCTTTGCGGGGGTGTAGGAGGATGTCCAGGAACGGTTTCTGGTGTAAATGTAAAGGAAAGTAACCATCCTGGCCCATCTTTCCGGAGAACCTGGTTTCCCGATATGTTTTGACATTCAACCTCGGGGTGATTGAGCCCACTGACTGATATTGTTCATTCATATACTAATATAGAGTTTGCCGTTGTTGTTTGCTCACCATACTAACATGCACACCTATATATAATACTGAACTTATTATCTAGCCATCACCATCTTGTAGAAACAGTTTCCTATTAACTGTCATCACGATTTTCCTTCTTCATCTATCTTTAAGATCATGGACCGATCGATCCAAACACCGCCCCGTCCGGTGTCGGGCGAAGCAGGACGCGTTTCGCATGCATGCGGGTTGGTTTGGAGCCTTAGCCTTTCTCCTCTACTCCGCCTTTAGTGCCTCGGTGCCGGAAAACTTTCATGTGTTCGCCAGCTAAGAGAATTCCAAGAATTTGTTGGATTCCTCCTGGACAAAAAATCATGTGAGCTTCGCTGTTTACCTGTTGATCTTTTCGGACGCTGGCTTGCAGGCTGCAATCTCCTGAAGTCGTCCAAGAACACCTGACCTTAGATCACTGGAAATCCCAAGTATGGCATTTGCGTAACTGGTGCTTGGACAATCCATCAAACCATGACTGAAAAAATCTACAAAATCTTGCCAAAAGTCGCACAACTCAATCAAGACCACGCAAACGTCCGCAAATCCGGGAAAAGTCGTAGAGCAGTCTTGTCCAGATAATGGAATCTAAGTGGGTCTCTTCCCAAAAAACGATGAAAACCACTGCATCACAAACAAGCTAAGACTACTATAAACCTCGAATCGTCCGAAACATCTCGCATGTCCGGTCCGTCCGGGTGTCTCAGACAGACGAGACGTGTCCGGTTTCGTGTCCACATTGCAACCAAAAGACTCAGAGTCAGTGCCCACAAAAAAACAAAGGGATATGACATTGGAAATGGAGTTTCAAATAGGCAAGCAATAAGTACAAGTGTTCAGTATCCGTAGTATTCTTGCTTGAGATTCTTTGGTGTTGAAGCGAAAACACAAATACCATCGCTCAGAACAGCACTCACGACAGGTGGCCATACAATTTGCCGCAAGTAAAAGCCGGTTTCTGTGTGTTTTTCCTGTCTTCCACTTGGCCGAGGCGTTTATGCGCAACAGACCTGGCTCTCCCACAAGAAACGTGACCCCGTGGCAGCCAACGTTGTTGTTTGGGTCGTTTGGAGCATTTGGTCGCGGCCTCAGTGAACAACGCTTGGAACGACGTGGAGTACGTGGAGTATAATCCGAATCCATGTGTGATGTGAGCCACAACTGGTCAACACCCACAGATCTCCCATCAAACGGTGCAAGGAGCATCGTGTTTATGGGAGGGCAACCCTTCTGTTCACTATATAGTTCCCAGTTGAAACTAGGCAAGATGCCCCGCAGTGTTCAGATCAACCCCAGAAGGCGAACAGAAGCATCTCTAATCACCGCGTGCGGCACGGCACACCGACACCTGCCTGCGTCCAGACATGTCCAGACCACCCAGACAGCCAGACCACACCACACCACGGTCTTTCCGCCCACGCAAACAGCGGTCGCGATGTCCCAGGTCCTTCCTGGTGGCCAGCTACGCGCTTTATGCCAATGGCATCACGCTCTGGGTCTACAGCCATACCTGGCGAAACCGCCACGGACGGCTGCATATTGGCGGCGAAGCGGTGAACACTTGATGCCCGGAGCCATGCCTCGGCGCGACCCGCGGCGCGGCGCGGGGGGCTGCGTTGGTGGCAAAAGGCGGGCGTTTGCGCCTGTGGAGAAAGAATGGTGTGAAGATGCTTGATTGGTGTGGAGGATGGTGTGGGTCTTGTTGTTTTTGTTGTATTTTTATGGTTTAGATCGAGAAGCCGCTTTTCAAAGGGTTTTCAGTCTGGGACTCATCCACCAGAGGACGCTGAGGACGGATGACGGATTCGCTGATTGCAGGACTTTGCCGCCTCGATCTCCAGAGTCCTTTCTGGACGCGGGGAGCGGGAAGCGGGTGAGGCTTGACCTCAAGCTGAGTGGATCGAGTGGCGGGGAGGGAGTGGATCGGGTTCAGTGTTATTAAATGAGTTTTTTGAAGGCAATCCTTTTTTAGAGGGGGGGTTCAGATATGTTTTGATGCTTACCCCTTACCCCTTTACAGTAACTTGGCAAAGAGAACACGGTCCTTGGACTCATTGATGGTTTTCCAGGGTGCTCCCTGGATGGCTTTGACATGTTGAACAGCCCTGTTGCTGGGGTAAGCAGAGTGTTGGGCGATGATCTTCCAGGAACACTGGGTCATGGATACAGGTTACGGGATCAACAGATAAACACTACTACGAGACTAGGGATAGTTCACATCCGGGTTTTCCTGGTGTTTGCCTATTTACTGCAGCGCTGTCCAAATTTGGAGTCAACATTATGAACACAAAAATGATCATCTCACGAGATAAACCACCTGCCTGTCGGTTTGGGATAGGGGGGATCCAAAGAAACAGATGTTAGATGTCTAGACGGCTGTTTGGAGGGAGCTGTTTGGAGGAGCTGTTTGGAGCGGAGGATATCCACTTTGTTGAAAGGAGCCATGGAGCTGAGTGTGGAAGTTCCCTAACCACAGAAGCTTTGATGCGATTCTGGCAGTGGTCAGCTTCAGCCGAGACTGAAAAAGGAGCTTGGACACAATATCGATCTTTTTGTTCTACCTTGTCAATTCATCAAGATGTCAGTGCTCCCGAAAGCTGAACACCTAGGATCATTCTCCTTAGCTGCTTATAACTTATAGCTGCTTAGCTGGTCCAAGTTCAGCGTCGGAACGTCCACTCATCACAGGGCCTCGATCAGCGTCGAGCAATCGGCGCTGAGCGGCACGGTGCCCACGACGGTGTCCCACCGCCGTCACGGACCACGGCGGCCACCCATCAGCGCCGTGAACGTCCGACGGTGCCCACCCCGCTTGGATCCATTGGTTCGATCACGAAAAGACCGTGTGTTTCCCTGTGCATGGATCCATGGGGTATCTTTATGGAGTTATAATGACGGGTGTTTTTTGCTGGACGGGGCTCTCATGAACCTCTCTGACCATCAGCAGTGGGGCATGGAGCTTCGCCGGGAACGTGATCCCTTCCACCCATTGTTGGCCCTCCAACGTCAAGCATGTTGTTGCTTGTTCATCTCCATGGCCAGAAACTGCGGGTACGCACATGAGAGGGGGCCTCTGCGGGTACTGGGGATGCTCAGTGGTGTGGGACATGTCCCAGACATGAAACTCGGCTTTCAGATGCCACTCTTCAATGGGGATGAATGATCATTCAATAAGTTCCATGACTTGAATTCACCTGGTGAATTCAACTGGGCAATGGGGAATGTACCTGGTGAATGACTTGATTCTTTCCCACAGTCACTACCATCCATGGCTCCTCATGTCACCATGTCATCTCGGGGTGCAGATTGCAGGGACAGGGGGTGATGAGCAGTGCATTGGAGATGGTGCTAAACATGGCTTGTTTTGTATTACAATGTGTTGTTTTTTTGCCGTTGAATTGATGTACTGAGTATAGGATGTTCTTTATGGTTCTTTCAATGTTCTTTCTCTAAGAGGTTGGTTGCTCATGTTCTCTTGGTATGTTGACTGGAGGAGACTGAGATGAGTAACCTTAGATGCTGAGGTCCCACCAGTTGATCCGTGCTGCACTCGTTTGAGGCAGCAAAGATGGGGCGATGTGGGGATGTTTGGCCTGACTCGGTATTCGGTTCTTGTCCTTCAGGATTCTCTAGGGCCCAAAATCAGAGAGCGGAAGGGATTCGAGTGATTATAGCAACTGCTAGCCCAGCTAGCCTCAAAAAATGCTTTGATTCGGCCTGTCCTGGCTAGAATCTTAAGGGGTTTCAACACGGTCGCTGGGTCCGGCATCCTTTGAAGATGCCGCCAGACGCGCTGAATTTTCCGCCTGGCGGATGCACGGAACCGGTCGGTCACGACAAACGCCTCGCTCGCCTCTAGCTCCCTCAACGGCGTTGGGCGCTTTCGCAAGCTCAGCGGTTTTTTTTCGCATCAGTCACACAGCGGTTTGTTCCACTGATTCTTTCGCTGCAATGTCTATGACGTCAAATAATCTTCCATACATCTTCCACGATGGGTCCGTCATCCGCGAATGGGTCTGCGCCACAGACCACTTGGGCCAAGGCGCAACAAAGAACAAAGGGCCGAAGCTGTCAGCTGTCATGGACGATGGGTGAGGGAGGCCGCCAAAACCACGGGGCCCTTTTGCTGCTCGTTCTGGTTGGGTGAATGAGCAGCATCCTGCGGAATGATGCGGAGTGTGCCTACTGAAGGCGATTTTCCTTGTGTATGCAGAAGATGCAGACATGCAGAGGTGTGAGGTGTGAGGTGCTAGGCAAGCTGCATAAGTAGTATAGGCATATAGTGCAATGTGCATTGGATCCTCATGTGGTACCAAATGAGAGCAGACCCCAAGCTTGATGCGCAAAATGCCCTTAATTCACCACTCTGTGAGCCACTATTCCCAGATGCTTGTGGTGTTGGTGATGAAATGTTGTGAATCTAGAGGCCATATCATCATACCATCATCATACCTTATCCCTACCTACCTATATACATGGCATGAAGCGGATTGGCTTTGCCTCGGAAGAAGCGGATTTCGCCTCGTGAAGATGGGGATCGTCATAGCCCGTCTTGGTACTTGATGGTACTGAAAGACTTCGAGAAACCTGTCACAGTACCCAAGAGTGGCAGTTTCTTTTGGAACTAGTTACTAGTTGCTTGGACAGGTGATGGGGCTGTAAAAAAGCAATCCTTTTGTCCTCCAGCCTTTGTCCTGCAGTCTCAGCCGGATAGACTCATCGATGGTCTGCTGAGTGAGGCTCCGTCAGTTATATAACATGTGGTAAGGAAACAACGACACCATCATGTTAAAACTGACAACCGGGAACAGAAGCCCACTCAAGTGCACTCCCTCTAAATAGGAGGTGAATATCTTGGCATACTTTTGGCACTCCGAATCGAAAGCAACAAGAAGCAAACAACAAATCGAAGCGAACAGATCGCTTCGCCTCCAGCGAAAGCAGCGAGCCACGAACAGATCGTTTCGGCGGCGAACAGATCGGCGTTTCGGCGGTCCGCGCCATGGGTCTGGGCCTTGGCGGGTAGCGGGTCGTTCGGAGACTGAAGGAAAGCATGTTTGAAGGTCAAAGCAGAGGCCGGTGAGCTTTTCCCCATCTCCTGCGCCTGAAAACTATGCTCGAAAGATGGATGGGGATGCTATTGATGATCCTTCAAACGTGGAGAAAAACGACGTAGTGGATCCAGTTTTTGCCTACGCAGGTGGTGTTAGTCGGGCCTCCATTTGATTCTCCCTCCGTTGGATTCATGGCGAAACAAGCGCGGCAGTCAGCGCTTAGCCTTGGTCATTGGTCCGGTCCGTTGTTTGTTTTTTCTTGTGGGCGATGTGGTTGAAACAGGTTGGAACAGGTTGACGCCATTTCAGTCAGGATTGTAGATGACAAGAGTTCATCACTCATCACCATGTTTGGTGACAGCGTCGAAGTTACCATCATCCACAGAGGAAGATGGTCAGCCGAAGATCACTTGGGCCGTTAACCCCACCCATCCCCACCTGGGGCCCCTCACATCAGCACCTGCCCAAGCTATCCCAAGCTACCACATGTCTTTCACATGAACCCCAAGCCACCACACCAAAACCACCGGCTGCCGGCCATGCTGTCCACCTGTCCCTGGTGCGCAGACCTCGGTCGCCGCCCGATGTCCCTCTCCCCAGGCGCCGTGGGATCAGCGACCGATGAGTGGGGCATTTGCAGGCCGAGGGGAACGAACATCGAACGAGGCGAAGGTGACGACAGGACTCCGAACGATGTCGACATCCCAAGAGGTGACGTTGACGGTGACTTGGGGGGGGTCCAATCGACCCACCCTTGTGACCCTAGAGTGAGCTGGTGGGAAGTGGAAAACTCTCCGAAACACGGGGTGATGGTAAGCTTCCGTTGTGCTCTTAAGTCTTGGTAAACTGTGCCGCAGCAGAAACTCGCACGCACACAACCAAAAAAGGCATAAACAGCCCGCATCATGTGGGTTAAACATTGTCAAACACGAGGTTCTGGACCACTTCCAGACTTTTCAGTAAACATTTCATACATTTTCATACCCTAAAAGCGGCTTACTGTGCTTTCAGCAAACATGGCTCGGATACACCCTCCCAAGCCGGAAAAAACTGTTCCTTTGGCTTCCGCGGACGAAGGCCCTGTGGTCGAGACGATGTTTGTCGTGAGGCGCGTGGCCGTCGTTTACGCGGCGGGTGAGAACAGTGATGAGCCAGTCGTTTCAAATTGGTAACCTTGATGTTTACCCTTAGGTCATCCTGTTTTTTGCTGTCGCACGATGCCATCCGCCCAGCAAGTGGGGATGGTGTGAAGATCGTCGGCGCCGTGCGTCATACTCAGCCGTTTGGTAATCCCACAGGTTCCAGTTGTCCGTTCTCAGCCGTCGCCGCATCAGATCGCCGTCCCCGCCATGGTCGCCGGACCTGGCCCCTGAGGCGCTGTGGGCCCGCGATGCCAATTCGCGTGGCTTGGGGTCCTCGACTCAGCGATGAAAAAGCAGCGGAGCAAGGCTTGTTTAGACAAGCTAGGCAAAATAGGACTCAAAGTGAAGAAAAAGTCAAATAAACTTCATCCACTTTCAGGGGAACATTTGGACACACGAAACGGATCGCAAAAACAAGAGTAACACATATTATACAGGGTGCCGCGGACCCCCATTGATAGAATGAGACTCGCAGGGAGTGATTTCCCCTCCAGGATTTTGTACTCGTTGTCAGGGGTCTTGTATGTGCCTCAGAATATCAAGACTCCGCATGTGACGATGTTTGTGGGAAGTGCAGGAAAGTGAACTCGCGACTTGCACGGTTCCGAGGATGAAAACATGTGAGTTGACACATGTCCTGCATCTGACCAGAATCAAATAAGTTGGACTTCCTGGAACCTCCAAACTCTGTTGTGGATGAGCTTTTTGACCCCAAAACCACTCAACCGCCGGGCTTTGATGGTGGGAGTTGCGAAGATCTTCAGCCCTCAGGCCACTGCTCCCTGCCTCCGCGTCCGGGTGGAACTCTGCGCCACCCGGTGGAGACACTGTCGGGTGGAGGCTCTCGTCTACTCACCTGAGCAGGTCGTGGCTCCATGTAGCATCATCTATCATTACCCTAGAAGTCCAGATTTACTAGTCTTGGCACCACCCAAGTCAAGGAAACTCCTTTTCCGATAACTTGACCGATTGAAAAAGGGTCTTGGACTCCCAGGGATCACCTATCACATCCTATCACATGTTTCGGCAAAAACTGTTGAACATTCCATCTGAAGCTGTCGGACTAGCTTGCGAGGAGCGTCGGACTTTCTCTTGCTGTGCTGGACCTCTAGCGGGTGCTGTTGGGTCGAATGGTTGCACTGAATGGTTGTAATCCACACTCATTTAAAGTAGGCCCGTGGGGATCCGTGGGGTTGGGGTTTGCAAAACAGTCGAAACCAAGCAGAAGGGGAGGGAGACCCTTAGGGCCGGAGAGTGAAAGAACCGAACTTGAGAGTCCGAACATCTGGCCGTGGTTGTTTGAAGAGTTTGACTTGGGAGGTTGGGGGAGGACCCGGGGTGGATGAAGGTCTTGTTACAGGTTTCGTTCAAGTTCAAGCCTGCCAGCTGAAGGCTATGTTGAGATTCGGTGCTGCTT